TTACTAGCTGGGTGACTCAGACCAAGTCATTTAACCTCTGCCTATATCACTTTCCTCATCTATAAAATGAGGATAATATGAACATATACCTCCCAGAGTTGTTGTGAGGATCAAATGAGATAATAATCTTAAAGCATATAGCACAGAGCTTGATACAAAGTAGGCACTTCAGAAATTCTTGTCCTCTTTCCCTTCCTCTAGCCTCCCTCTTAAGCTCTGGTCCTGCATTTTCAATTGCCTATTAGATGTCTCATACTTGATGTTTCATAGGCCTCGGAAATGCAACATGACAATAGTGGAATACGCTATCTTCCACCTAACCACATCCTTCTTCCAAGCTTCCTTTTTTCTGTTGGGGGCACCACCATAGGTTTTACAATTTTGACGTCATCTTCAATTCCTCACTCAGAGTTCTCACTCGCTCCATAGTCCACTAGTTGTCACTTGTCTTGTCACTTCTAATTCTACATATGCCTCCTCTTCATTCACATGGACTCCACCCTAGTTCAGGTCTTCAACACCTTTCACCTGTATTATTGCAATAACCTCTAACCTGGTTGATTAATTGATTGGTCTCCTTTTCTCAAGTGTCTTCCCACTCCAATCCATCCTCTGTACAACTGTCAAAGTGATTTTCTTAAAATGCAAGTCTGATCATGTCCTTCTTACACTCAGTAAACTCCAGTTGCTCCCTATTACCTCTAGACTCAAATAAAAATTTCTTTGTATGGCATTTAAAGATTTTCATAACTTGGCCTCATCTTATCGTTTTATGTTTATTGTACAACACCCAGCACCTAGCACAGGGTCTTATACACAGCAAGCATTTAATAGATGCTTTTTGATGTATTAATTACTCTTCTTTATGCACTCTATGGGCCAGTCAAACCAACCTTCTGTTTGTCACAAGGGACAGCTCTATCATCCCTCATGCCTAGAATGTACTCCCTCCTCATCCTGCTTCCTGGAATCCTTAGTTTTCCTTCTAGATTAGTCTCAAATACCATACTCTGCACAGGCCCTTTCCAGTTCTCCCACTGGCCAGTGCCTCCTCCTTCCCCCAACTCCCACACCCTCTATCAGGTTATCTTGTATCTGTTTTGCATAAGCCTTTGTATGTGCATATAGTCATTCACTTAGAATGTCAGCTCCTCCAGGGCAGGAACTAACAGACCAGTTCCTGATCCAAATCAGGTGCTTAATAAATTTTTGTTCATTGATTGGTTGATTAAGATCATCTGGTTGTAAACCCGAAATGTTTGTTAATGACAGATGTGGAAATCATAAACATTAACAAAATCTAATCTAATGTTATCTCTTTAATTTATAGAGATATAGGGAGAGCCAGAAGAGCTTGAGATTAAGAGTGAAGTATTAATCTTCTCATTAATTAGGCCAAATCAGTATTATGGTGCTTAAAAATTTCAGGGCACTTGTATTTCCCAATTGCTTTCACTTTTAGACTACTTAATGGATTAAGTTGCTCTTGTAATCCTAAAATAGCAAATGGAAACATGGGATGTCCACAGATGCTGGCCAGGCACATACTTCTAAAAGGGCTTTGATAAGATATGAGTTTCCTCACTTCCAAAAACAATAATGCAGTTACACCTCAAGTTTTTAGTAAGCTAGAAGTGTTTGCCCATCCAGCCTCATCTAGTCCCCTAGAAACCTTCTTTCCTGCTGAATCCCAGCACTTCCCAAAGCAGGGATCAGGATTGGCCTTACAGAGAATTAGACTAAGTAGTAACCTACATCTTGTGATTTCAGGCTGATGCCAGACTTCATTTTATCAGGAATAACTGAAACCTAACTAAGAACAAGGCCCTATTGCCAAGAAGAGACAAGGACACCAGAGTGGGAAGGGAGACATGAAGGTGCCCCAGACAAGCTTTAACTTTTCATGAGTTTGCTAAGGGCTAACCCTGACAGAAATCAATGAGATCCTTACAACAACTGAGTGAGGTAGGTGCTGTTATTATCTTCATTTTACAGTTGAAGGAACTGAGGCAAACAGTGGTTAAGTGACTTGCCCAGGGTCACCCAGCTAGTAAGTATCTGAGGCCAGATTTTAACTAAGATCTTTCTGAGTCTAGGCCCAGCACTCTACTGGGCCACCTAGCTGCCTCTAGTAATGTTATTGACTAAAATAATATCAATTGAAAGAAACACAATCACAAAACAATTGATATTGAATGTTATGGAATTTAAAAAGACCAAGGTTAGTCCCAAGGAAGAGATATGAGAAGATGTCTTCCTCTGCTCTAAAGCAGTGACTAAGACCATTCTAACTGAGAAAGCAACATGGAATTATCTTTTAACATAATCATATTTGCAACAAATCCTTAACTAGGAAAAAAATTGGTACCACATTTATTGCAAGCATAGTTCACAAATGGTGAAGTGGTTAAAAATGGAGAAAAGACATGTATTACATGCCTTGACCAATTTGCTGCTCACTTTAATAATTGCCATAGAAATCATTTGCTAGTGAAGGAATACTGCATCTGTATTTACAGAAACAGGGAGCTCAAAGTTGTGAAACATTTCCTATAACATCAGTTTTTTTTTCAATTAATTGCTTGGTTTTATGAAATTGGGTTTTTTTCCTCTTTTAAAAAAATTATAGTTGTAAGGGATGGGCCTCTGGGAGGGATGGAGGAAAGAGGAAGAATATATAGGGAATGTAGCTGATGTAAAAAAACGAAGTATATCAATAAAGCCTACTTTTTGAAAATCCCTTTTTATTGTCCTTAGTATTCAAAACAAGCCTTGGCTTGTTCTGGACTTTAGTCTTGCTGATGCTTTTATTACAAGACCATGCTGCCTTTCTGTATTCATGGTCAATGACCTTTCCTTGCTTCTCTCTTCTGTGCGTGGTTTTGAAAAAAATCTAAGTTGGTCAATGAATTCCTTATGCATCCACAAGCTACTCAGGCATTGGGGTGAAGAATATGTTCTTGCCTTTGGCTATATCTATTGCTCACAGCAGCACTAGGAGGGTCAAACTGAATGATGAGTTTACATTAAAATTCAAATTTTCATGCCCCCTCCCAATGGTAAAACACAATCTAAATTTGAATGCCCAAAAAGTATAAATCAAAATCTAAATTTGAATGCCCTAGTCAATTAATTTCTACATTGTGGTTGACTTGTAACAGTGACGTAAGGCAGTGACAATGACCTCAGCAGGACGGAGGAGAAACAGCAACAAGAAGCATATTCCTAAACAGTACAACCAGTCCCTACACAAGAATGGCTCTGTGCTACAGAAACTGAAACTAAACTACTCCAACATGAAGTTTCCATGATTTCAAAGAAAAAGTAGCTATTCCATCTTCCCTTTTGCCAGATGAGGATATATTCATCTTCCTCTGCATCTTTTGCCTTCCTAGTAAAGGTATTAGCTGGATTGGTGATCCCAAAGCACCTCCCTGATTTTCTCAATAGTATATATGAGGTAGTATGGAACAATGGATAGAGAGTCAGCCCTATGGGTTGGAGCCATCTTCTGAAATATACCAGCATACGACCCTAGACAAATCACCTAACCTCTCAGTGCCTCCAGACAAGTCTCTAATACAATCAATTACATGATAGCTAATGATCTGTGCTGGTAGGAGTTTCCTTATCCAAAATTCAATAAAATCACAGGTTTGGTTAAAAAAAAAAAAGCATGATAGTTCAAGAACATGGATGGATACTGTGTGGCTTAATGAAAAGAGTGATGAACTTGAAGTCAAGAAGCCTACAGCCAGCTTCCTGCCTTGGACTCATCCTATCTGTGTAACTGTGGACAGGTTACTTAACCTTTATGTGTCCCAAGCAATTCTCTAGGACTTAGCTACCAAGTCCCAGAATTCCTTGAAATCACAGCTCCTTCTTGTCTGTGTGATGACATGGTCCAAACAAAGATTAATAACATCTTGCTCAACCTAAAATGAGCCAAAAAAAAGGAAATTAAATAATTTCATGTTTAGCCAAGTCACCAAAGAGGGCTCTAGACAAACAGACTGTAGACTGTAGCCATTGTTTCATATTGGGGACATAGGGGTTTTAATTGGGGTTTCAATTTAAGCCTGTGTCTCATTGATCTATTTTTCCAAGCTGAAAAAATCATCTGTTAAATGACTTCTGGTTGCCCTTATATCATAAAGTAGTACTATATTCAAACAATAGCATATTTCACAAAGAGACTACAAATTAGGAATTTTCTTACACCTGACAGCCTGTTGAAGCAAGAGACCCTTTGTACATAGAGAAATGTAGACTCTGGCCTCCCAGAGCGAACTTTCAGGTTAACAAGGGCGTAGTCCCCAAGGGCTAACACTGTGGGTTCCAGCAATTTAACCAGTCTTACAGTTGTATCGGAACACAACTGGGCAGCATTCCAAAGCTAAAAGGCACTAATTGCTTCTGTATGAGGAGCTAGAAATGTAGCCACTCAATGTCCTTTGTTTCTGATGGTCTGCATTATAGTATCTATTACCTTGTTAATTGTTCCTGTCTGAAATATTCTAGTTGGGCTTGATTCTGTTTATTGCCTGGGACAAAAGCAGGTTCGCATACACACAGAGGTACTTAACTGTATTGATGTGTGTGTATGAGTGTATATATGTGTGTGTGTGCGTGAGTGCATATTTATGAAAAATCATCACCACCCCAGAAAGGGTTAACTTTGCAATCAGTCGCTAGTATGCTTATAACCCTAAGACTAGCCCCTGGAATAGGGAGGAGGAGTATCTAGAAGGTAGAGTGTGCAAGCTGTGCTTTCATATGTCTGCCTCCTCTGACACTAGTACAAATGTTTTTCAGCCTGAACTGAATAACCATTAGTAATGACTGAGAAGGCACTTACCTGGAAATTAATTCATCTCTGCCTTTTCCAGGCAGATTTTATTTGGGAAGAATTTTTGATCATTTATAGGAATGAATAGAGAGTAATTCTGCACACATTCTTAATTCGTCTTAGAAGACAGGTAAGCTGCAGAGAGGAAAGAATGGATATAGCTGATAGTCTATTTATGAATGGCAGTAATATTACTCCTCCCTGTGAACTTGGACTTGAAAATGAGACATTTTTCTGCTTGGATCCACCTTATCCTTCCAAAGGTAAGTGTCAAAGATCTGTTTTTCAGGAATATTAATTTGAAAGGGGAAATCATCAGCCCAGGAACAAAAGGATAATAAGTATACTTTAAGACTAGGCTAGGTAAAGTCTTTTCAAATTGTTATTTTTTTTAAAAGTTTGGAAGAGAAACAGACAAGTCAAATATTCATATTTCCTTGCTTTTCTAGATTAAAGAATTGTGGATTAATGTCCATGATTTCAGGGAGAGAAAATGGGGTGGGGGTTGTAGAAGGAGTGTAAAAAACTAGCAAGACTGAACATATGTAAAGTTCCAAGCTTAAAGAAATGATTCTATTCCACATTAGCAATCTGATTTTCTTTATTTAAGCCTAATGTGAAGAAATGATTCATGGTACATAAATGCTCAGGAAGCTGGAAACAAAATGCCAGCACCATTCATTTGAGATGGCTCATTCCTGAGAAGTACTTCCTAAAGTGATTCTTTCCCAAAAGAACCATTTGGATCCAAGCTCATCCCTCAGGTTTCACCATTTAGTTTTTAAAAAAGTATTACAAGTACAAGGATAAATACACTGGTTCAGTGATTTACTGAATTAATCCCCCTCCCAAAAAATAAAAACCAAGCAGGAAATAGAAAATCTGGGCTCACTTGGGGTACAAAGCTTTTAATGTCCTGTTCTTATAGTCTTTGATGGCTCTGCTTCTCTATTGTGACACAGTGAATTGGCAGCCAGCGGTTCAGATTCTCTTATATTCCCTGATATTCCTGCTTAGTATCCTGGGGAACACCCTGGTAATCACCGTGCTGATCCGAAACAAGAGGATGAGGACAGTCACTAACATATTTTTGCTCTCCCTGGCCGTCAGCGATCTCATGCTCTGTCTCTTCTGTATGCCATTCAATCTCATTCCTCACCTGCTCAAGGATTTTATTTTTGGGAATGCTGTCTGCAAGACCACCTCTTATTTCATGGGTAAGTGGCTTTATGTCAACATTTCATTAGCTCACCCTAAACACTATCACGTTGCACTTGGCTAGTTCTAGAGAAAGCTGGGTGCCCAAGGAAAAAAAAAGATTCAAGAGGCTAGGAGTCATCTAGGCAGCTGTTTGAATGCTAGATGCCTGGGAATATATGAGCACAGGGGAAGGAAGGAAGGACTTTTAAGATCTTGAAGTATGTCCATCCTATTCACTGAAAAAAGAAGTAATTAAACAAACAAAAGTAGAAAACGCTCATTTTACTCTTCTTTCCATTTCTTAAAACAATAATAACAGCACCCAAAGACTCCTATAGCTTCTTGTTGCTCCATACCTTTCAGGGGAAGTGCTTTTTTGACCGTACGTCTATCTATTCATGACTTAAATCATAGGTTTATTTGTTGTTGTTGTTGCTGTTGTTGTTTTTTGAGGGGGGGATTAGTATATATGTGTGTGCATATATATTTACAGGTTCCTTTCTCAGAGTCCATTTTCCAGATTCTTCTGGGTCCTCTGGGACCATTCCAAGAAAGAAGTGAGAAGGGAAGCTGTCCAAGACTAGTGGGAAAGCCAAATATATACTTTTGAGTGTAGTGAGGACACCTATGTGCCCATAAGGTGGGCTGTCTGAGCCTGCCCATGTCCATCAAAAAAGGATTATGTGAGAGATTCTGAGAGGTTCCAATAACCAGCCCTGATTTTGCTTATTGCTAGGATTATTTCAAAGTGGAATAAACAAATTTAAGAGACTTGGCTTAATATTCACTTCTCAATTCATCTCTCCCTCAACTAGCCTCTTCAATTAAAAAGGAAGGGGCTGTGCCTTCAAATCTGTAAACTTTGCTGTGCTGTATCATGCCAAGAGAGTTTGGGGACACCAGGAATCTTAAAAGCCTTAATTCTGCCCTAATCAACAGAGCTGAAGTCTGCACTGACAAAATGATGATAAATGACTGTCCTGCAAGCTGGGAAAAAAACAATTGCAATTAAATCATGGATATTTTCAAAGTGTGATGTTAAGATAAGAGATTGTTATTACTATAGCATTGCTTAAGTAAACCAACTATAGCAGACAAAAACAAAATTAAAATGAGGCACATATCTGTGGACCATCCATACCTAGGAAACAAAGATGTGACTATATTGTAGACCAGACCACATTTCCTCAGCTATATCACCTTTCTAAAATAGGATCCTGTTAAATCACAGTGGGTCTCATAAGGTGAGTATTAGTCTAACTCCCAAAATCAAATATCTTAAAGGAGCTCCACTGCCCTAGGCTAATTTTTTTAAATCAGAAAATTTTAAATTAGTAAGAGCTTTTCAGGAGGAAAAAAAATGAATTAAAGTAAAAGTTGAACCATGTAAAACCATAAATCTTTAAGCTTTTTTTTATTATGCCTAGCCACATTTAAAAAAAAATATATAGAATCATATTCAATACTTTGAAATCATTACCTAATCTTACCTAAGAGCCTTTAAGCATGTAGGACTCAAGCCACAGATTGAACCCAGAATTCTAAAGTATTTTAGAATCTTTACATGTTTTTGCTTTAATAACTCATTACAAAATCAGTAATTAATGCTTAAAATTAAAGGAAGAATTTTTTGAAATTTGATCTACTTAGAATCTCCAGGTGAACAAACACACAAACTTTTCCTCCTGTTGCTGAAAAACCATTTTTACTTTATTTTTTGAATGTATTTCATTCCATTAGCAGTTAATTAATGGCTACCTTCATGCCCAATGGAAGTTAGACTAAGTTAAATAAAGAATGATAAGTTATCAGTAGGCATTTTTCCTTTTAGAATAGATATAAGAAAACCCTACAGTGCAGTTCAAAGCTTCTAGAGACCCAGATTTGAATCTTTGCTTGATATTTCCCTTGTGTGACTCTGAACACGTGTCCCTTAATCTCTCTCTTGTCATCAATTTCCTCTTCTATAAAATGAGCAGGGTTCCCTTCCAATTTTGGATATGATCTCCTGTTCCTCTGTGTTTGCAGGTAGATTCCTTTGCCTTCTATGATACGGTCCCTAGATTCTTTATCTAAGCATAGAGAGGATACTAAAGTTCAGGACCAGGTTAACCTACTTCTTTGTTCCACACCTAGGCATCTCCGTCAGTGTATCCACTTTTAATCTCGTTGCCATATCGCTAGAGAGATACAGTGCAATTTGCAAGCCCCTGCAGTCAAGGGTCTGGCAGACGAAGTCCCATGCGTTGAAGGTGATTACTGCTACTTGGTGTCTCTCCTTTACTATCATGTCGCCATATCCGATTTACAGCAACTTGGTTCCCTTTACCAAATATAACAACCAGACAGCTAATATGTGTCGCTTTCTGTTGCCAAGTGATGTTATGCAACAGTCCTGGTAAGTTGTTTTACAGTTTGATAGCATATCATATCGCGCTGTTGAAAACATGTACTTGGGAAACACTGGAGGGAGGGCAGAAGCAAAGCGAGTTTGGGTGCCTGCCTTCCTCCAAAATGTGCTTTTGGTTTTTGAGAAAGGATAGACAAGTTTCTTTCTGGGTGAGTTTAAATGTGGTTATGCTGCAAGGCAGGAAGATGAAGTGAATGACTTCTTTAGGTCCCTAAGATTCTCTAACCAAAGGAAAAAATCAAGCAGAGACCAATCCCCACCACATCTTTGCCAAAGAGTGTTTCAGAATTAGGGTGCTAGAGATTTAGATGTCATTCAAAGCTTAGTTTAACTCATCTTCTTCCTCTTCCCTTACCCTTACTCCTCCATAGCTCTTGTCTTCTTAACTGAACATCACTGGGGAAAAAATTATTATGTTACAACCATCAGGGATGTTTCCAAGGCTTGATGGGGAATCTTATCAAAACGGGATTTGTCCACTTGAAAAGAGATGGCTAAGCCATCGTGTGCCCTTGACAATTTTACGTCCCAATCTCTCACCCTTACCATACCAAATGGCACATGATTGAAAGGACCAGACTTGTAAAGGAGAGGCCTGCTGTTCTTCAGAATTCCAATTTGTTTAGAGAATGCATAACTTTGTTCAGGCAGCATCACTTTGACAAGTATGCCATCCATGCATGAGGAAACCGAGATCAAAGGGACTGTGTGTGGTTTGTGGCAAGGTGAGAGCTATGCTAAATCCCTCAGCCTAAATTTGTAGTCAATTTCACTATTACATTGCTACTGAGGCACTCTGACTTCCCTAATGAGACATTTGGTTTCTCTGCCTTATTTGGGGCAAATGACCATGGCTATTGTAATTAGACAATTTTATTTTGTCTAATAATAATAATATTACAGCCACAAAACAATTTCAAGCAAACCAGAGAGTCCTAAGGGAAGGCTTTTTTGAAAGACTATCTGGAGAAGAAATGCATGCCTGGTCGCCTGGACAAGGAATTAACCAAAATGTTAGGAGCCAGTAATGAGATGTGTTTATTCCTTCAGGTCATTAAAGCAAGAGATGTTCCTGTTCATTTTTTCCTATTACTATAATCAATACTGGCTGTTCTGAAACCTGATGTTAACTGTTGATTGAACTGTTCCATTCCTTCTTCAAGTAAACATTTTATATTTCCATAAACATACATAAACATTTTACATTTCTATAAACATAAATCTCAAAGCAGAGCAGGGGAAAGGCTCCTTTGTTCTTACAGAATTAGAGATAACTTCCATTCCATTCAACCCTGGTCAGACTCCTCAGTGTTTATTTTTCTCCCATTCTCAAGCGGGCACTTGGGTTCATAAAGACACAGAACACGTACCATGCTGACCATTGGCTGCATTGCTTAAGCTATAATACTTAAATCAAGTAGAATCAAACTCAATTAACTGGAATATGACTAACCAAAGCACTTAATTAACCAGAACAGGATTATGGGGGGGGGGGTGGTGTGGAGGTTAGAAGGGGAAGATAGAAGGCGCTTAATTTTTAAGAGAAAGAGGCACAAAAAGAAACAAGAAGATATGAGGATTTTTTTTAAAAGAGGGAATCAGTATAGCTCCATCTTTAATACATACAATGTCTTTACCTACATTGACAGTCTTGTACACTGAGCACTAGTGTTCAGAATGATAATCCTGAATTATCCCTGGAATATCCTTAATTATCAATAGACTCATTTATATCAATTATCCTGCATTTACTGAGGCAAGAGATTGCATTCGTACATTGTAGTAACATATGCCCCCCCAAAAAAGATGGAGGAAGGTTTTGCTTAACCTTCAATTAACCAAAAATTTCTATGAAATAAAACATCCCATTCTGAGCATGCTGGTCAATCAAGGCATCACTAGATAATGGCCATGGGTATAAGGTATAGCAAGTAACATTAGGAGAGCTCCTTTTATAATAAAGAAAAAAAAATGTGTTTGAACTCTTAATTTTTTAAAAATTTTAACAAGCATTTATTAGCCCCCTACTATATGCCAGGCAATAGGCCAAGCACTTCGCAAATATCTCATTTTATCCTCACAATGACCCTGGGAGGTAGTTTGCTATCAGTACCCCCATTGTACAAAAGAGAAAACTGAGACAGAGAAAGGTTAAGTGACTTGCCCATGGTCATATAGCTAGCAAGTATTTGAGGCCAAATTTGAACTCTGATCTTTCTGACTCCAAGTCCAGGGCTCTATCTACTTTGCCACCAGCTGCCCCCATAATTGTCAATCTAACCACTGTGGAGACAATATAGCAATATAGTTGCTATATGATGTTTTATGAACTTCTTCATGACCTCACCAGGCACACATTCCTGCTTCTCATCCTCTTTCTTATTCCTGGAATTGTGATGATGGTAGCATATGGATTAATCTCTTTGGAACTATACCGAGGAATAAAGTTTGATGCCAGCCAGAGAAAATCTTCTAGAGGTAACTATTAATCACATGTGTACTTTGAAAAATGACAAAAATTCTCTGATTTTTCTCTAACTTAGGCAGATACACATGCACACTAACCCTTTGATTCCTATAATTTGGATCACATTTTCCCACCTTTAAGTTTATAACTTTCCCTACAAATGACTATACTCTGCTTTCTCCCCCACCCCCAGCGTGACCACCTATTGACATCATTCCCATCCTTCCAAGCCTAGCTCTGGTGACACTTCTTCTATGAAGCCCTCCCAATCAATCACTAGGCTGATCACTCATTTTGTACCTCTTCTATGCACTCACCACATCCTTATAAGCATTATGGGCATTTTTGTCTTTGACTTCCCTTCCCTTCTAGATTATAAACTCTTTGAGACTGGAAACTGTCTCATATTCATCTCTGAGTCCAGAGCACCTAACCTGGTGTTTTGTGCTTAGAGAGGTGCTTTGTCTGTTGAATTGAATTTTAAGTCACAAATTCAATTCAATTTACTAAATATTTCTTAAGAACTTGCTATGTGCAAAGTACCATGCAGGATGGAGACACAAAGACAAACAGGAAATGGCTCTTGACCTCAAAGAGTTCACATCCTATTGGAGGATGCAGCATGTACCAATTAAAGATGAAGTAATACGAAATAATTCCAAGACAGAAAATATCAAGAATGGGGGATAAAGAAAGGGGTGTGGAAAGTAATAGTACCTCAAGTGTATATCACAGAAAGCTAGGGATTCTATATGGCAGAGATAAGAAAAGGATGCATTCTAGATATTGCTTGTACAAAGTCATAGAGGCAGCAGAAGCAATGTCATAAAATAGGGACATCCAGCGGGTCAGTTTTACTGGAGCATAAAATAATTTTACAATTTTACATAGAATATAAGACAAAAATATTAAATAAGACTCAAATGGTGAGTGGGAGCTAGACTGGGAAGAGCTTTAAATGCTACACTGAAGATTTTATCTCAGAGGCAATAAAAAACTATGGGAGATTTTTGGTACAGAGGAAACATGGTTTGATTCAGAAATACCAATTCAGCAGCTGGGTGGAGGATAGAATGGAGGGGAGGAACTACAGACAGGGTAGCCAGTCAGCTTTTGCAATAGTTCAAACAAGAAGTGATGAGCTTCTGACCAGGGTAGAAGCTATTGTGAGTTCAGAGAAAGGGATAGATGAGAGAGATGCTGTGGAGATAGAAGAGATAAGATTTTTTGTTGGTATGAATTGATGTAAGTTGATAGGAAGATTGAGGGAAAAGGGAGAGTTAAGGTTGATTTCAAAGTAGTAAATCGGGGTGATAGAAAGGATGGTGATGCTATCAACAGAAATGAGGAAATTTGAATAAACACAATATGTTCTATATTTTCAAAGGTATTTAGCAGGACTTTGAAAAAGTCATCTAACCTATGGTATTAAGAGAATCAAATGAAATAGCAAATGTGAAAATATCTGGGGAAAGATGAAGTGCTGTATAGGTATCAAATGTCTTTACAATCATAGCTCAAGTCATAGCTTTAAATCTGAAGGCTGCACAGTGACACATGCTTATTCATATATATGCATGCCTAAAGTTCTATGTCCAGTCGTTTGGTGTAAATTTGGCCTCTGCCACTTTTAATATGCCTAAGACTCTTCCAAAGCTTTCTCTCAGTCATGGCATGGTTAGATCTGAAAGTCACGTGCGCCTCCTTATTAAACACCCAGAAAGGAAATCCAGCACGGGCAGCAGCAGCAGATATGAGGATGGTGACGGCTGCTACCTGCAGAAATCCAAGAAGAGGAAGAAGCTGGAGCTGCAACAGCTGTCCAGCAGCAGCAGCAGCAGCGTCAAGACCGACCGAGCCCGGAGCAGTAACTCAGCTGCCAACCTGATGGCCAAGAAGCGAGTGATCCGAATGCTGATTGTCATTGTGATCTTGTTCTTCCTCTGCTGGATGCCCATCTACAGTGCCAATGCCTGGAAGGCCTACGACACAGCCTCTGCTGAGCTGCTCCTCTCCGGAGCTCCCATTTCCTTCATCCTCCTGCTCTCCTACACCTCTGCCTGTGTGAACCCCATCATCTATTGCTTCATGAACAAACGCTTCCGCTTGGGCTTCCTGTCTACCTTCTCCTGTCACTCTCATCCAAACCCTCCAGGAGTGAGAGGAGAAGTAGGTGACGAGGAAGATGGAAGGACCACGGGGGCATCTCTGACCAGGTATTCATACAGCCACATGAGCGTCTCTGTCCCTCCCACATGAGCTCCTCCCATGTTCCCACCGAAGGAAGAGGAAGAAGAGAGGCGGTTGTATTTGCAGTGAAACCCACCAGTCAGCTCATCTTATCAGGGATGCATAGAGGGAATACCACTTTGTTTGCTATGTTACTCGCTTTCGAAGACAGTTTGAAGGCAAAGGACTGCTACCGATGAAAAAAAGAAGAAAATGCACTGGTGAGAAATCAGACTTGAACTTGGTTGCTATGTTTGCTGCTGCCAAGTCCAAATATAGAAAGGAGACATGGAACCTACTTGTCCCTCGGAGGGCTCTCTGTGTGTCAAAATCTCCATGCAATGTGTCCTGTCTTTGTATCCTGTGCTTTATCTCGTTCTTCTAATGTAAAGTTACAGAGTCCCTGGAAATCTATACTAAGGTCATTTATACAGTATACCCTCTTGCCTCCAGCTTATTGTGAACCAGTATTGATAACCGTTTCAGTGAGCTCAAAGAGGAAGTTCTTTGGGTCATTTCCTGTCCTGTGTAGTTTCTGTCCTATGCCCGTACTCTTTTGAAGGCCTAAGGAACATTGTCTATGAAACAGAATTCTATAACTTACTGAAAAATGAGAGAGAGAGACAGAGAGAGAGAGAGAGATGTTTTGAATGTATTCCTTTGTCACCATAATACCAGGACTGTGAAATGCCACAAGTTGCAGGGACTATATACGCTGAAATAATTAGTTTACAACACTTCTGTGTCATAGGCTATTCTGCTACTCTGTGGCCCAGTGATATCCTGCCTACGGGAGGTGGGAGATTCACATGTTCCTTTGCTTTCCTTTACCTTTCTACCATTATAGGGACCTCCTATATTTTCCTGAAGAAATTCCATGACAAAAGGGGGTCCACAGTATATTGAATAACCAAAAGTGGCTCCAAGCATATTAGAGCCCAAGAGAGAAACTACTTTGTGTAGCTATGCTGTTGACATGTGTTTTGTGTCTTTGTTAATTCTCTGTGTATGGATAAACAGAATTTACAAAAGTAACACACTATGTCCTTTGTTGTCCTCATTATGGCTAAATAAAGGATCATTAATGACTATTGGAGTTTCCTAGAGTGTAATCTTATTGTAATCCTTCACAAGAACAGTTGGAGGGCAGTCTTCAGGGTACTTCTTTTCTTTGAAAAGTCAGTGGGGAAAATCAAAATTCTCTACCTCCTCTAATTTACAAAATTTAATTAAAAATAAGTTGCTGAATATTACAGATCTAAACTCTGGTACTAACTGTAAGGATTTTTTTTTTTTTTGAGGAGACCTGAATATTACAAAGGAGTTTGAGAGGTGGAGATCAGTTTTGATATCCTGCTCGATTGCTTGATGCAATCCACTTTTAAATGTCAGTAAACAGCTGGCTTGATCAAGGTTATCTACCCTTGTCTGCTTGTAGTTGCTTTGGGACTTTGAGGCACAGAAAAGACAGACAAGCCAGGGGTACTCAAAGCTGTAGGTCTTTATTACTGGCTCATTTAACTCACAAAAGGGAAGGCATCAGGCTTAACAAGGGACACCAGAGGGTAGGGAGGGTCAATCAAGGGTAAAGGAAGTAATGTGAGGGGCCAGAGTAGTCAAGTATACTAGGAGTATGGGTGGGAGGACGGGTCTCTAGGAGAAAGATGATCAATTAAAAGTACAGCCCAGAACTCAGGAACTTTGACATAATGTTCTTTAGGATATGGAATGAGGAGTCAACAATGGTTGTACAAGGTTCTACGATGGTCTTCTGGGTGGGGCACATTCACATTTCAACAAGTTCTCTTTACTCCTTCTGATTTCTTGAATGTGGCACCTGGGTCTTTCAAGGATTCATTCAAGAATCAAGCTAGCTAGGTGAACCAGAGAGCTGGAGGTTTTAAAGGGAGGGGCAGGTTTTGCTCAGGCATATTTTATTCATTTTCTACTTCTAACATCACGGGAAGGGAGGTACCACAGATTGGCTAGAGAGGCCTGGTTGAGTCCAACAGGAGGATAAAAATTTCTGACATTGAGGATTCCAGAAAAAAGAGAAGGTTGAGTGGAGATGGAGAGGAGGGAGAGGTCAGGAGGAGCAAAGATAGCCTATTGTACTTGAACTTTGTGTATCTCAAAAAACTCCCACCCAAAAAACCAGAGGGTTTTTTTTTTTTAGATTTTCAGAATATCCAAATGAAAATATAACTGATTGACTTCATTGCTAGCAATATGTACATACACACATATGTATATTATATGTGTATATATACATATATATGCATAGTATGTGTATATACACATTCTATACATACACTTAAATATCTCAAGGTCTTGGTCAGATCGACAAACGCTATGTACATATCTCTGTTCTGCTCCTGGCATTTCTCCTGGAGTTGTTGGGCAGCAAACAACATATCGACCATTTCTCGGCCCTTTCTGAAGCCACAATGGCTTTCAGGTAGATGACCATCTTCCAGGTGAAGGATCAGCCTATTAAGGAAGACTCTGGCAAGAATCATGTTAACAATGACTAAGAGTGAGACCCCTCTGTGATTGTCACAGGACAATCTATTTCTTTTACCTTTATAGAGATGGACAGTGGAGGCATCCTTGAAATCCTGGGGGATAACCTCCTCTTGTCATATAACAGGGAAAAATTTAGGCAGTTTTTGTATGAGCAATGGACCCCCTACTTTGTAAATCTCAGCTGGAATAGAATCAGCACCAGGTGTTTTGCCACAGAAGAGGAGTCTAATGGCAACCTCTTCTTCAGGTGGAAATTTGCCTAGAAATTTGACTACAACCTGAGGTAAATGGTCAATGGCTTCAGCATTGAGTAATGATGGTCTGCTGACAACACTATGGAAGTATTCTCCAGGATCATGTGTATACATACATACATACATACGTGTGTATGTATACTAAAGGTCATACCCCTTTAGAAAATTAGAATTAGAAAAAGACCTAGTAAGTTACTTTACACAACTATGGTAAAGGGGATAGTTAAAAACCAACAAGGGATAAAACGGCAATGATCTGAGATAAAACAGGTAATTTCAGTTGCATGAAACCGAAAAACTTTTGTATAAACACACTTAACACACCGAAGAAAGGAAGCAATTAGGGGAAAAAACTTTGCATCAAATATCTCTGATAAAAGTCTGATATTCAAGATATATAGGGAACTAACTCAATTATATAACACCAAAAAGCCATTCCTTTGTAGATCTGTGGTCAAAAGAAATGAAAAAACAGTTCTCAGAATTGCAAATCATTAACCACATGAAACATTCTTACAAATTACTAATAAAAGAAATGCAAATCAAAACAGTTCTGAGGTTTCATCTCACAACTAGAAAATTTGCAAAGGTGACAAAACATAGGAATGGTCTATGTGGAGGGGTTGTAGAAGGAAGGGTTGTAGAGCTATATACATAGGTCCAAATATTCTGGAAAACAATTTACAACCATATTTTTAAAAATTACTAAAGTGTGAATACTTTTTGACCCAGAGGTCCCACTGCTAGGCTTATACCCCAAGGAGGTCAATAACAAAAAGGAAGGCTTCATACACACAGAAATATTAATAGCAACACTTTTAGTGGTAGCAAAGAATTAGGGGGAAAAAGTAGATGCCCATAAATTGAGAAATTGCTTAACGCATTGTGATACGTGAATAATTGGAATGTTACTGTGCAATGAATATCATGAAGACAAAGAAGTATGGGAAGACTTAAATCAACTGTTGCAGTGAAGTAAACAGAACTAGGAAAACATTATGCATAATAAATGGAAAGAACAGCAACAAACAAACAATTGAAACTGAATGCTGTGAAATTATAATGTTCAAGCTTGCCCACAAAGTAGAGATCTGAGAATGCACCTCCTTCCCTTCTTTGTAGAGGTAAGGAACTATATATGTGGAACACTGAATATGGTATGAGACTTAGTTCATATGTGGGTTGATTTTTCTAAAGTATTTTTTTTTCTGTTTTTTTTATTCTTCGTTATAAAATGGCTCTCAGAGGAGAGGAGAGATATATTGGGAAGTGTTGGTGATGTAAAAGTGAAAGATATCGATAAAAAAAAAAATTTAACAAGGAATAAATGCTATCCTGAGAGAATTTTTGGTATAGCTGCCACTCTGCTTGACACAGCAAGTCAAATATTTTTATAACAGTACTCACAATGAATTTAACAATTGGCTCTTTCCAGCAACTGGCTCCAGCCCAGCCCTGTTATCTCTGGGGTGTGAGAGTAGGATGGGAGGGAGAAGTAAGGAAGATGAAAAAAAGCAGGTTACAGATTTATAACTGTTTTGGTAGGTCCCACAAAGTAAACATTAGGCCTGACTGAGAAATAAGAGTTGCCCTGTGATTGTGTAAGTACGTGAATGAAGATAAATTGACTATCATGTAATTTTCAGCTCCTGGAATTATTCAAAGGTGTTCAATTCAAAACCATTCGATAATAGAGATGAATATAAACAAGAGGTCCCAGATACAGATCAGTAAAATGCTTTGGAAGCTCTTTTCTCTAAGTTTATAAGAAGCCATTTATAGAATAGAAGGTTAAAAAAAAAAGGTGGGGTGGGGGGAGGACTTCCTCAGTGTATAATTGGGGTAAGGGGAGGCAGTTTGTGCCCCCCCCATAATGGTACTGGGAAACATCCTTATTTTGCATAAGATCAGGCAGCTGAGTGATGCAATGGATAGAGTGCTGGCCTGGGAGTCAAGAAGACTCATCTTCTTGGCTCTATGACCCTGGGCAAGCCATTTAACCCTCTTTGCCTCAGCTTCCTCATCTGTAAAATGACCTGGAGAAGAAAATAGGAAACCACTCCAGTACCTTTGCTAAGAAAACCCCAAATGGGGTCATAAAGAATCATACATGATTGAAAATAATAACAAAAAAGCATAAGGTCATTTTAAAGCCCTCATATAACCAGATCTTATTTTACACTAAGAGAGAAATATCAATTTAAATTTTTGATCTGAAAAATTAGTGATCTTTTTTTTGGAGGGGGGAGG